TGTCTGTACACTGTGATGCAGTCTGGTAATAAATACTAACTTGTGAATGTTAGTGTTGATTCGCCACTATGGTCATTTATGAGGGTGTAATGCGTATTAGTGTTGTATTGGGCTATACTGAAAGGCGTCATAAATATTTTGTCCACCTCATTTATTTATATGGAGGGGTAAGAAATGTTAGAGATCCCCTACAATTTAATGCAGTATATAATACACTACATCCACCCTCTAAGTCATAAATTGAATACCAGGGTTTTTGTCAACTTTAGGCTAATGAGGGTTTAAAAACCACTACAGGGTATTCTGTATTCAGTATTCCTCACTATTTATAGATGACAACGTCTAAATCACAGTCATTTTGAAAATTCAACCTCTGACTTAGCACAGGAGTGCTGAGTCAAAGAAGTGACATCAACTGTAGCCTGAAAATGACATGACTCAGTAATCACACAATGATGCTATCACACGCTTCAAGTAGAATTATATCTGCAGAAACCAAATAGGCCCGATCTGTGAATGGGGAAACATGATGAATATATGGATTGAAATAATTGGCTCTCATGTTTACTACCCAATGCCTTTATGACATGATCTCTTTCTAATCCCTCTTTATCTCATTCTAGACTGCTGTGTCTCAGCTGCTGCAGTGTCTTTACTGCTGCAGTGCTTACTGCTGTACCCACTGAATTAGAAATGAGTAATGGCTCATTTTTTTGTGCTTTGTTATGGCTTCCTGGGCTTGAAACCAGGTTCAACCAAGGTTTTTGTTTTTTTAAACCTTAGCAGAAATCAGCAAAACTAATGGGATCCAGCAGAGATAACCTATTTCATAAAAATAGTCATTTAGCTTTTTTAAATGAGGCAAAAGTCATGACAAAATGAATAATTGCACATTCATGGTCTTCAAATCAGATTGTGACTAATCCAAACTGGAGGTGGTAGTAAGGAAAGTCATGGGCCGGGACAACTGAAATATAGAATTGCGTTTAAAATATACAAATATAAAAATGGACCTGTGGGGTCTGCAGTGTTAATTTGACAGGCTGACCGAGACTACTTGGCCTAATTTACGAGATAAGACTGAAAGTAGACTAACATTTTCCTTGGAGGCAGCCCTAGAATCCATGGCAACAAACCCTGAAGCAACTAGTCTATATTCTATAATGATGGATCATTAGTTTCAGATGCAACAAAACAAAGTGCTTGTTTTTTTTGGGGGTTTTTTTTTTCGCATATTGATAACTCTAGTCAGGAACTTTACATTTGTATAAAGAAATGGGCGCACAAAGAAACATGCTACCATACGTATGAGAATATGATTTGTAGGCCGGGTAATTTGGATATTGCACAGTTCTGATGGTATTTTGATTCATTGTTCAGCGCTTACCATCTCCTACTTGTACATTTTGAAAAACATGAGAGAAAAATTGCAATTATCACAGCAAAATTAACCTTCTATATATTTGTATTATTGGCTGTTGGCAGCTATTACAACTACACTGAATGCTTGCTATACTTGCTATAGGTGAATGTTGACATCTTTACACTGCACTGAGAAATATCTTTGTGGGAAAAATCAGCATATTCAGCCAAACCATATGGGACAATCACAACCATGAAAAGTAATCCAATACAAGTCATTCCTTGCAGGGAGGTCAAATCCATTTTTTATTGCTGCTGAGAAATTTCATTTGATAAAAGTGGGTTTTAGCTAATTATTAAATGAGAACAGTTAAGGGCAAATCTTTTTGGAGAAGGTTTCTAAAAATGGCTCTTATGTAAAACTTGTGTTAGAATTCAACACAGTGTTGTGGATGTAGGAGTGTGCACTCACCTCAGGATTGGTCCACTTGGTCTTGATCTTCTCAGCCATCTGTTGTGTACAGCCCAGAAGGTCATAACCCTGCCTGCTCTACAGGTGGAGCAGACAAACACACAGTAAACACAACAGAGTATGCCACTTCATAAAACGGAGCATGTGTAGGATGACTGAAAAATGATGATAGAAACACCCAATTAGCTGGTTATTGGTTAATTATTACTCTGTTTACAAAGAGTGTGAAATGAACTTAACTCTATGCAAAGAAAGACTGCGCACAAGGACACTTACAATATTAGTCATCAAAAATATCAGTACTGATAATGTGACAATATACTTGGGATGATGCTTTTCACGGATGTCTGCACACGAGAAAAGGCATAGTGCACCCTTGACAGCTTACCAGTCAATCACAGGCTACACTTTTACATAAAAAGTTGGAAATGCTGCATGCTCAATGCAGAGTACAGCCACAGGAAATCATATCAATACTCCCAGAGATAAAAGGTCATTTCGCATGAATACACTGAAACAGGATGAAGGATAAAAGCTAGAGTAAGTTTAGAGTAAATAATGTGGCCTTAGGCTGTGTGTGTGTGTGTGTGTGTGACCCCCTTTGTCTATCATCAATCCATATTTGGCCATCACGTAAGGGTAAGCCAGTGAAGAGTGCTGCTCTACTTTTGGTTTTCAGATGTACAGCCACTGTTCAAAATACTCATCCAAAGTCAGTCCTGGTGTCTGATACTATCACACCCTGTTAATTGGTCCTCTTTAAGTCAAGCTGCAATAACACAGTCCGAATATGTTCAGTGTGCTGATAACATCTGACTCTAAATGGAACTATAATCATCACAAACACGGTGCTCTGCAGAACTGAGCCTATAGTGATGATGGAGTTATTTTCAAAATCCAGCACAGGTCTAGCCCAGTTTACTGGACCTACTGCAATGCTGCACTGAACGTCTGGTGACTCACCGGACCCATTAAATCCTCCTGAAGCAAAAAGCCATTTGGGGAAATGGAGGAAGGTTGAAGCCATAATTGGTGCCAAGCCAAATGGACATTGGGAATCATTTATAATGTTTAATTTCCATCTCACAATTTTCATAGAAATTATTTATGTAGCTGTCTAACATAACTGCCATGTGGGTGATCATGAGACATTATGTTTAAAATATCACACAGTGGTGAGTTGACTTAAAGACTTCAGGGCCTACAGCTATTGGCATAATACTTCATACTGAATTAGAAATGTATACCCGGACAGGCAACGCTCTGAATACTTTATCTTAAACACTACCGAGCTGCAGATGTTGTGTCGCATGCCATTGTGATTAAGTACAGGAGAGGGCAGCGCATACAGTAAATCACATTGTGTTTGGACCATATATAAACCTGTCATGTTGTGAATGCGTAACTCACCTTCTGCCACACGTATGCTTCATGCAGGGTGATGATCTCATGCTCACGGTGCTCACCCTGCACAGCACACACCACACAGATGATCTTCTCATCTGGTTTACAGTAGAGGGAGCCTTCCTGTCCATGCTCCTTGCAGCGCAGTCTCTCTACTGTCACTGTGTCCCTCTTGCCAGCCTCTCCAGCAACCATGACCTCCTGCCCTGCTTCTGCACCCTCAACTCCATCACCCAGCTCAGCCTCCAGCTGCAGACCATTCTGAGCCCCTTCTTTTCTCCCAGCATCCCCACTCGCATCGGCATTAGCCATTGCCACCCCAAGCGGCACCATCCCGTGATTCGCACCAGCCTCATCCTCCCCTCCACCTCCAACTCTTGAGTCTCTGTTGGCGCCAAGTCCATTACCTTGTGTCTCCTCGTGGTTATAAGGCATTAGCGGGTGATGTGTGCTGCCGGCGTGTCTGTCAGCATGGATGGGGCAGAAGGCAAAGCTGCAGGTGTGGCACACTTGTGTGGCTGGCTGGGCCTCATCAGGCTCGCATGCATCACAAGACCCGTCCATCTGTGGCAGCTCCTCGTGTTTCAGCCCCATAGCTCCTTCCTGGGGTTCCCCTTTGTGGGCCATGGCGGCTGATGATAATTCTGGGGATAAGAGGAGTAAGTCTTATAGGACACACACAGAGTGGAGGACAGGTTAAAAATAGCGGTGACCTTCTGTGAACAGCTCTCATATTTGCACAGGGGAAAGTCCAAGATCCTCAGGACTAATCCCCTGTGATATAATATTCCCACAACTGATGATGATGTGTGGAGGGAGCCAAAGTCCACAGGAAACAGCATCCAAAGCAACACTACCACACAAGCTACACACACACAAAAAAAAAAAAACACAACATCATTTTTGCAAGGCCAATAAACAGGAAGACCCCATCTGCAGTCACTGAACTGTCCTTGTGTGCAAACACACTCACTTTGTTTACTGACTCACAAAGCGAAAGTGCTGAGTGTGAACGGCTGTACCCTCAGCATGAGCAAACACCCACGCTCTCCTTCCCTCACCTACCGGAGGCCCTGACCTTTCCGTGTGTTGTTCATTTCTATCGTTATGCCCTCTCACGACCTTTTCAGTCCACGCTGCGGGAGTGAAGCTGAAAGAAGAGAGGCCACGGTGCGTGCCTAGTACACGGAACACACACACACACACAAATAGTTTTTTTCTCCCCCCTCTGTCTCTCTCTTCACTTTCTCTTTCTCCTCGGAGCCTTCCTCTCCTGAGCTGTTTGTGTACTCTTTTTCACTGCTGACACAAACAACCGGTAGAAAAAAGTGCTGTAATGCACAGAAAACTCCCACTCTTCTTCCCCTTACACCTCTCTGCTATTCCTCTATGACTCACACACACACACACACACACACACTCAGGCATTTCCCCCCTCATTCTGTGAGGCTTACCAGTTTGCAGCTCACTGCAGAATACTTACTCGTCTGTGTGTCTCCCCTTCTGCTTGTTCTGTCTAGTGCTTGTTTTAGAGATAATGTGAAGTCAGTGGAGGAATTAGCTTGACGGCTAACTTCCTTAGCACAGCCCTTGAGCCTTGAATTCTATTACTGAGCTGTCGACTGATCTACTTTCACATTACAGCAGAAGATTAAAAAAATAAAGGGGGCTCCGGCTCCGATCCGACAGCGTTTACTTCCTTATTTTTATCAGCTGCTGCCTGCTTTTTTTTCCGTACTTCCTGCTTGTAGTCTCCGGTGTGAGAGCGGCAGAGACACACAGAGGCTGGAAAGAGAAAACCCGTTTGACAAGCACAACAAAAGGCAGTGAAACTCCAAACCGGAGGCAGGTAACGTGAGAGGGGAAGGAGATTCTCACAGTTGTAACGTCGCTGTGAATAAGTAGTAATGTCATGAGCGAGTGGGAGTTCTTCTTTTATTGATTTTAATAATAACTCCCAGCTGCGCAAAACGTAAGTAGATAGCTCTCTTTCACCGCAGCCATTTTGACACAAAAAAGTAGGGTAATCACAGGTGTTAGGAGTGAGACTAATTAGGTTCTGTTCCAGTTTACAGTCAGCCTCCCTGACTCTGGTTGACCTGAACTAGTGTTACTGGCGACACCTGTGTTTGCCGTACTGTTTCACGTCAGAATGGCTGCTGTGAAAAAGGTCTACTGATTCAGTCAAACAGGGGAAAAGGGCAGGTGAGTGAGGTTGACGTCAACTAACCTTAGCATAATGGTTCCTTGTAAAAGTTAGTGTAAGCTAAGGCTGTGTTTCTAAATGACACGTTGTTTTAAGAAATGCTGTATTCTTTATCGGAGTTTATAATGAACAATTGAGTCAGACTTTAAAAACCTTGTTGTTTGATATCAATCCAAATATAATAATAATAATAATAAAATAAATAATAATAACAATAATTAAAGCTGCAGGCAAATTTCGGAAATCATTTGATGTTTGCCGTACAAGGCTTACATTCTGTTTCAGCAGGTGGCGCTGTGAGTATGACTGAATATGATCCCATAGATATGTTCAGGGTGGGACTCTTATCAGACATGTACATTTTGGTGCAGATTGGATAAAGTACACTGAAGTTATGACAACTTCCTCTTTCTTGGCGAAAGATCGAAATCCAGCGCTACGCCATGGACACGCCCTTTGACGAAGACTCAAGATTTTGATAACTTTTCATTGTCATTGTCTTGAGATTGCAATCTGAAGTCAATCCGGTCAATTATCTCAGAGGAGTTCGTTAAAATACAACATGTGCAAATCTCTGCCAAATCCAAAATGGCTGACTTCCTGTCGGGTTTGGGGTATGGGTCCAAGAGGCTTTTTTGTACGTCTAGACATGATACATGTGCCTACCGATTTTCATACAACCCTGTGAAGCGGGATGCTGGGGCTGCTTCGTTGAAAATATTCCAGGGGGTGCTTTGGAGCCATTCGTGATACGTGTGCCAAGTTTCATGATTTTCCGAGCAAGTTTAGCCCACCAAAAATGTGATAAAGGGAAAAGATGAAACATCAACGTTTGCTGTGTTACCATGGTAACAGCGTTCAGCAAAAACTTGAGGCTTTTTTGATCATTTGGATATATGGGCGTACTGATTTTCATACATACTGGTGAAACCTGGCCTTGGGGCTGCAGTTTAGGGGGCGCGGTCAAGGCATTTTGCAGAGACCCATATCATCTGTACATTTCTCCTACCTTTTGTGCCGCGTCTCAAGAGATTTGGAGCATGCTGCGGCTGCCAAAAATGCTATTTATTGTGTGAAATAATAAATCCTTCAGATACAATAGTACCACGGTCCTCACAGTGTTACTGCTCGGGCCGAATAATAATAACCTAACCTATCAACAATATTCTAAATATATTAAATCTTTTTAGTTGTTGTTTCATAGATATTATTATTATTATTATTATTATTACATTTGTTAAAAAAGATTGAACAAACTCAGTCTCAACTATGGCTGCTCAATCTGAATATTATCAAAGTAGTAGAACATAAGGAGCATAACCAGTACTCAAAGACCTGGAATACTAATTAAATAAAAAGTGAGCGAAAGCAGTTTGTACTTCTATCACAAAAAGTAATTTCCTAGTAAGTGTTAAAAGGTGTTAAAAGAAGTGCATGTTATTAGTTGTGCATAGTTATATAATAAACTACAGCAAAGTGAGTGACAGCTACAATGCCAAACAAAGATGCATATATTATCTGAATACAGGAAAGGGTTCAGCTGGAAGAGTAAACAAACTGAATTCTAACACCGGCGTTAATGGGGAGTTTCTAATTATGATGTCTTTTTCCCCCTTCTGTTCACGTCCTTACCCTCCATAAACCAGCACTGAGAGACAATGGAGCAGGATTAGAAGTCTGGAGCGAGAGACAGAGAGATGAGGAAAAACAAGCTGTTCTCTGTAGAGAGATCTAAAGAGGCTATTGAGCCGGGCTTCACACAAGCAGTATTTGGCAAATCATTGTTTACTGTTACTCTGATTTGAATGGCACACCATAAATAACCATAAACCCCATTCCAAGTCAGCCTCCAGCATCCACTTGATATGGATGAGGCTGCTTTTTTTTGCCAAAGTTTTTGAGCTATTTTGAAGAGGATTACTCTTATATAAGGATTATCGCCACAAAAGATCTATTATAAGACTGTAAACAGATAGGATGATTCAATGAAAAACATATTTCACTGGCAAAATCAAACTTGCCTTGGCTTGAAATGTGCTTAAGGCATATTGATGTAACGATTAAATCTGAAACTGTGTTTTCAGGGGGCAGTTAATCATAACAGATGTATGACTCTGATTGGAGTTGTCGTTGGAATTGAGAGCAAAAATTAGTTTGCCACACACATCACAACAAGATCACATCCAACTGAATGATCTTATAGTACTGAACCACACAGCATGGTCAATATTGTTGTTATATATCTATATCTCTATTTATCTCCATATATTTATATATGTATATATATACCATATATCACCTGACTTTTTAAAAAATGTTTCACCACTGCATTGATTTCTTGAGGAGTAAAAGATGGCATCATCTTGCACACTGCATAAGACAATTAAAAGGCTCATTGACTAGCAATTCATTAGAATAAGCACTCAATATAAATACAATATGAGGCTACTGATAGGAACTGTGATTCCATCTTTCTCTACCCAGGGATTGTAGTGAAACAATCTGACACACAATAGAATAATTTGTTTACCTAAATTGTGTTTCTACAGCTCAGAAAAGCCTTTGCATGGAATTTGGCAACACAAAGAACATCAAGCTCTCAGAAATGGCAGCCAAGAGTGGAGGGGGAAGCTTTGGCAGACTAGCAGAGCAGACACAAAACACTTACCTAATGCCTCGGTTTTAACTATGTTTTATCGGCATGAGGTCAGTTGTTGGTCCCAAGATGAATTGTCCTTCTTTTTAACCGCACCAGTTGGTTGGAGGAACCCTTCTTGGAGTCAGTTTGCATCACTCCCTCTCTCTCTCTCCCCCTGTTGATATTTTGTGTGACTCCCTGCTCCTTATTTGCCCTCTGGATCATTCTCTAGATGCTCTTGACTTTTCCACAAGTCTCTCAACCTGTCATAACTGTGCAACATAAAACAGACTCAATATGTTGTTTTGCAAGGTTGTTTGTGGATTCCTGGAGCCTGTCTCGTGAAGGAAGATAAACTTGGCTGAATAAAACCTTCAAACCTGATCTGGAACATGGAGACTTGTATTGGGTTTTACTCAAGTATAGTTAACCAGCTAAATGAGTAATCCTGCTTTGTGAGATAAGCCCCTGGTGCTGCACTTGCTCAGTAATGTTTGTTTTCTGTGTGTGGGTTGGTAGGGAAAGGTAGGGGAAGGACAGCTGTCAAAACTTATCAGAGGCAGTGAGATACAGGTGAGGGAAGCAGGAAAAAAAAAGCACAGTGCAAGTAGAGCACATATGAAGGGCAGAGATATCCTGCAGCATTTTCTAAATATGGCTTACAATATTCTTCCAAGAATACAAATATGTACTCGAAGCACTTGCTTCAACACAATGTGCTTCAATATGCAAATGAAAACCATGTAGCAGAGTATAATTACAATTCACCAATCAATACACTGATTTGCCAGTTTATAGAATGCATTAGCTAAAGTTAGCTCTACTAATTCTAATTCAATACTTAGAGAGGTGCTGATTGAACTTTATGATCTTCTGCAGGCTGTTTATTGTAGTGCTGTTGCAGTCTATGCAACCGAGATATTTCTCATATTTAGTCTACCCTAACTGATAGAAACTGATCCTTTTCATGGAAGACCGTTTGACTTGTCGAAGCAGAAACAGCACAGACGGAATTGATAACATTAATGATGGCTGCATTACATTTACGTGAAACCAGCTCTAGGCTCTGGTATTGTGCATGCTCACTCACTGACATGGCTTACTGGGGCACTTAATGAAATGGAGCCATTGTTAATGTTATTAGTTACACCTGTGCTTTTCCTGCTTGTTTATTATATATAAGTTAACACCTTTCAAATAAGGTATTTCCAGCTCCTGGTTTATCATAGGACCATAGCTGTCAAATATTAGATCTTTATATTAAGTTGCATATATTCATCAATGATCAAATGTGCTTATATTGACATGGTTCAAAAATATACCTCAATGTAAAATGTAAAAGAGCACAGTTTTTGGTTATATGAATATATACAGTACATAGGTACACACTGGTTTATTTCTTAGCACCTTAGCAGTTCCAAAGTGCCTATTTCTACATTTCTCCACCTACCCTAACCTGTCTGTCTCAGAGCTAAGGTCATCAATTTTTAAATTGCTATTCAGCAGCCTCTATTTCACATTTTTTTTGGAATGGATACTCATAAATATGTCCAGAGTGCATTATCTTATGTATCACACAAAGCACCAACTCATTACTGTCTACTGCCAAAGGCATATCTAGCCTAATCTCTCTCCCCCTCTCTCTGTCGCCTTTTTGTCTCTCTCTCATAAAGTAAAAGGAAAATGCATTTTGCAACTTCATGAAAACAGAAACACTCCCTCCTACTTCCCACACTGTTGGCTGGGTGAATCTGAGTTTACATTTGAAAAATTAAAGTGTGTATGTGGTTTCCTACTTGAAATGTGCGCCTTTGGGATTTTTTTCTGAATTGAGAACATTTTGCTTGTCCTTTTTCCTACTTCTCCAAGGGGCATGTGTTTGCGCATGTATTACCAAAATTCTGACATTATGAGCAGTAGAACCTGTCACAGATGATGGTATCACATTATACACAATCTTCTCTTAACCTCTGTAAGGCTATTATACATTACAAAATCTCTTTATGGCCCTTGTCTCTATTCCCTAGAAACACAAAATCAATATCCAGCTTCGGGGCTGCAGCCTTCCATCAATAAGTCATTTAATCAATAATCCCTAGAGAGTAGTGCTTCACTGTTTTTGTGAGCTCAGGTTCTACCTTTGACTGGATTAGTCAAAGCAAATGGACTAAATGGAATGAGTAGTTAGAGAAAAACAGTAGATTATCTGAACCAAACTATTTAATTAGGATTCTTTGTGAATTTGTGTTTGTTAGCAATGAAACAACTTTAACTGACTATAAATGGATCAGTAGGGGTTTCTTTAAAGTAAATGATACAGAAAGACCAATAAGGAACAATATGCATTCTTTTATTACATAGTTTTATTAAAATCTTATAGAATATTATTTTGCAGACATGTAAGTAGGCTACACTTCACATTGCTGAGATAGATTCAAGTCTCAGTGAAGTAAACCTCTTATTAAGGCTTTCCTTAGACACTGAAGCATGATATGATATGGACAGACCGAACACACAAAGCAGATAAACTAGTGAATCCTCCATCATTGCCTTGGCTTAAATCAGTCCTCCACCCCTGCCTACCCCTGTTTGATCCAAACCCTGCTTTTATCAGCTTCTTACACACACTCTGTAACCACGGTAACTGTCTTACATTACTAGTCGTAGGGCAGTGATCTGCAACCAGTAGTTTACTGCAGGGTTCACGGTTCAATTTTGCCCAGAGCTGCAGAAATAGGGTGTCAGGGGACGACGGTAATAACATTGTTCAGAATCAAACATCCAGCACAGCTAATGCTGTATGATGACTTTGAATTCTCACCGCACGGTTCAGAGTGCGGAAGCAATTAAGCTCAAGCTTGTATTCCTCAAGCAAATTGAAATGTATCATACATCAGTAGTCTTTTCATTCGTTGGTTACACATGGGAGAGAATTTCCGGCAGTATAGATGAATTACTTTTTAAAATTTGTTTTGAACATATAGCTTAGCTTGAACAGTTTGGAGGTGGAAAGAGCCAGGTAGCAAGACACAGCTACACCGCATCCTCAGCAAGACTGTGAATAAACAAATGTATAATTGCTGCATATAGGCTCATATTTAACATTTATTTTATTAATTAGATAATTATTAATTAGTTCAATTGACAACATTGAATGTGAGAGCATTTTTAGAAATTATTATCATGTCATCTTAGGACAAACAATTACAGTGCTTGCTGGCGGTTTTCTGTCTGTTCTTTAGTAGTTTTTAGGGAGTAATATTTTTTTCTGTCATCAACTGCAACGCTATGAACTGTGGAAAAAGTGTGTGTGAGAACAGACATTGGGTTTGGACTGTGTGCTCCAGTCATCAATGGGAGAGGTCTGTTGGCTGGAGATGGGAAAGTAAACTCAATCTTCAAGGTTGGAAAGGTGATCTATGTATAGCTTTTATCTTAGGAAGTGGCCATCCTTGAACTTACAATTGGATTAATGCCCAAAAGAGAGATTTTGGTAATGGACCATGAGGACAGAGCTGCATGTAATAGGAATAGGAGTCACAGGTGTGAATATACAGTACAGCACTCCACATATCAGCACATGGTAGCACAAATAAACTGCCACAGTCAGGTGATGTCTCTTTTGAAGGTGAATTCATGTTTCAGGCCTCCACCAACTGTCATAAAAATAGTACAGAGCATAGTTGCTGCTGCTTATAGTGTAAGCAGGCAGACTATGCAAAACATTGTGAATCTTGACACTAAATATGTGGTGCACTTCTGGATTGCCAATGACACTGCTTTTACTGTACGGTGCATGGCGAGTCACTAGAATACTGAACAAAATATCATATGGCAGAGGCGAAGGTAAAAATACCATTTTCTATCTCAGGAAAATGTGCCTTATTTATACAAAGCTGCACATAGGGCATATCCCGGTATGAAATTAAAACCCTTTGCTGTCGGGTTTAATCTTTGTTTACTAAGTAACTAAATGTTCACTGAACAATAAAAGTAACTTACCTTGTCACATGGGATTGTTCTCAAACAAATAGTCTTAATTTGTCTCGACTTTTATGTCTTGAGTTAATAGAACATCTACTGTTTCATAAGGTAGCCCTGCCCTAATCTGGTTAAGATCTTCCGGATATATATATGATACTTGATTCTCTAAGAGTAGGAAAGAAATGAATCACTGACAATGGGAGGTTTGTCTAAGGTTGTTATGTTTTGGCTTTACTCATGACTTGCTCATTTTCTTGCTACATCTGTGCTTCTTCAATAGCAAACAAGTATGCACTCGCCACTGATTCACTGCAGAGTAACCTTAACAACCCTTTTTAGGTCACCTGCATCCAAAGCTTTGAAACTGAGGAAGAGGTTGTGTAAATAAAAATATGCCTGCAAAGTGAAATTAACATTAAATATAGCGTGCATGCAAGAATACTCAAATAAGTGTTCCCACAATGCTGAGATTAATGGCCTCTTTCAACAGTCATGCGTGCTTGCTCACAGCTGGACCACTGTCTGCCATGACATCATAGCCAAGGACACTGTTGGCGCTATATAACAATGACATTCAGTGTTTTCCTCTGTGGTCCCTCTCAGCAGGCCCCTAAACGTGGGCGCCGGGTCACAATGCTCCTCTGTGCACCCTGACGTATGGCATCCTGGCACTGATATGGCCCTGGAAAATTCTCAGGATGAACACCCGTGCCAAAAGCCTTCAAACCTTCCAAACCCTGGGATGGTGTCCTCTGGGGCTCATGCTTGATTGTCTGGGCCTCAGCTTACAAACTGCTGAAAGAGAGACAGCTCTAAGGTGAGTGTGTTTAGTGAGATAGGCAGAACATGTGAGAAATAGAAAGTGACACCTTTGAATAGTTTAAAATTGGCCTGTTCCAACTGGGCAAGAAATACTCCATTTGGCTGCCACACCAATCAGGCTTTCCCAGTTTTGAGTGTGCTGAAGATGATTTAAGGGTTTCCACACACTTCTTGTTTGGAAAAGAAATAGGAAACGCATTTCCCACAGAAACTTGACAACCAGTCTTTAAAGCAAAGCCTTTTCACATCAGAAACCTTTCATTAGCTTTTCACGTTGAAGCTGACCTTAATTTCAGCGGTGTCCTCTGATCACGGTCAAGCACTGATGTCAAGGTAACGCCACATCTGTCAGTCAAAAGGTGGCAACATAAACCTTATTCCTTTCCCTGACAGAGTGGAAATGGGGGAGATGGGGGAAGATGAGGGAGCGAGACTGCATTTGGCACAATCCCTGAGATAATTACAGATTTAAAGCCGAAAGAGATTCACACAATGTTCACTCAAACAACTACGCCCGAGGCCAACAAAATGGAGGAGGATCTTTTGTGTGTGCTTGTGTGTCGCTGATGTGACTGACGGAGAGTGGGGAGAAAGAAGAAGTCAGAGGGAGAGAGGGAGAGAGAGAGGGTGAGAGTAGGTTAGAATAAGCAGAGAATAGTTTTGAAGAAGGGTGGGGTAATGTGGATGGGGGGGGGGGGGAACAGTGAATGAAAGGATGAAGATTGAATTTCGTCTTCACAGGCGAGAACACTGCCTGTGAGCAAACAAAAGGATGAAAAGATGACCTGCCACTGTTCTCTGACTGACGGTTGGACAGTTCCCCATCTTCCTGATGGAATCCCCTCCCTCCGACTCCCTCTCTTGTGGCAAGCCTCCAACTGTCAGTGTCCAATATCAACTCTTAAAACAATTACTGGACTGCCAGAGGGTGGACATAGTGCCGAGTCAGCAAACAAACGTGGAAGACTACCTGTCACAGAGCGTCGAGGCAGCTGAGGAGAAAGATACAGGATTAAAGGAAAAAGGGGAAGCACAAAGAATGGATGAATCATTTTAAAAAAAGGAAATCTAATGACAGTTAAGCTGCTTATTAATTTGGCTGACACTAGGTCTATGTGTGTGCGCACGTGTGCTTGTGTGGTCTGTTTGTCCCCTGGAATGCAACACTAGTCACAGCAAAAGCAGATTATGAGATTAAGTGGTATGCTTCTGGGAAATAAATAAAAACACGGCTTGATGAATGAATATAGTCAGCACAATGATGCTAGAAAGAAATTATTCTGAATTGAACTTTAGGGGGAGTGTGGGTATAAGGTATGAATGAGTCGCGTTGTTTGGATATGCATTCCTGTATGATATTCTACAGTACGCTGCGTCGTGTGAGATAGAGGGGCAGACGGGTTACTGTCACGTTTGTAATGGCTTTACTGAGAGCAGGGAAATGAATCGCTAAATCAGTAGGATTGATAATCGCCTCTGGGTGGGAAATAACCTACAGAGAATCACGATGACTTTGCTTTTATCTCCTGTGCTTACAGAGTCGCCCGTCCCACTCAAGATTGCCTCGCAAGTACACCACGTAATCCCATGGGATTAAATTGTTTTTACATGAAACATGTGTAGCATCGCAGTAGAGGAATTTGTAAACCGTGGTAAATATAAAATCAGGGCTTTGATGTTAACCACTGCAGGGCCAGCTATCCTTTTCCTTTTCCCTACTTCCTTTCTGTTTCTATCTCACGCTCTCTCTCTTTCACCCCTCTCCGGTACCCTTTGTGTGTTTAGAAATAGGATCTTATAGCCTAAATTGAAAATTAGACTGCTCCACAACACTCAACACATGGCAGCAGATGTGTGGCAGTATGTGAGAGGGGGGGAGGGCAGAAAAAGTGAGACGGAGGGAGGGATAGACTGAAGGAAGGAGTCAGAGAGAGGAAAGGGAATCGTAGGAGGGGAAAAAAGAAAGATGACAAAGGTGGAGAGAGAGACAGACAGA